AGAGCTCACTCATAGTGTTGAACCCACAGAAAATTATCACCCAACACTATCACAGTTTCCTTTGGTTTTTCGGCATGCAACTTGACTGTTTTACCACTCTTATCAGAATCATTTCCAGTTAGTTGTTTTTCAGCAAAAAAAACAATAAAAACCCAATATTCACTACCTGCCCAGCACCAAACGACAGCTAGCTGGTGAATAAAGTGGAGCTTTTAGCAGTTAAAGAGACCGATGTTTCCTTCAGGAGTTGGCGGAGGGCAAAACAGAGCTAAAAGAATTTCAATTCATCAACTGGCCAGGAAAAAAACCTTCAAGTCAACACTAATGTGTCTGCTGGATGTGTAAATAAGTCACAGTTTGCTAACTAGTTTGCCATATCAACTTTATGTCAATCCTGTGTTCACAGCTTGTTACATTACACAAGGCTATTTAAGGTTTAAATATCCAGACGTCATGTAATTTTACATCATTAAACAACATTCTTGTACAGTTTGCACAACAGGTACCAAAAGGGACAAGACATTTTTCTCTGACCACATGGCTCTCTAACTGCTGCTTAAAAGAGACAGTTTGTTTTCATCACTTACTGTGGGCAGAGATGATTTACTGCCACTGCCCACACACTTCTTTGGGCAAAGAAGGCAAATTTATACTTACAGGGCGCGAGACACTACTGTCTCTACTATGGTTCTACCATCTAGCAGATGAGACAGAGTATATTTACAGAAAAATATCTCCAGGTGCAGCTCTATGTGCAGATGCAAAAGGAAAAATGTGACTTGCACCAGACCACCAATAAATTACCAATAATGCAGTAAAAAAAAATTCTACAGCTAACGGAGTAAGGTATTGCTGGTCTTTTGTAATAGTTATACATCTGCATCACTAATGGGTATTGTATGTTTACAGGCAAGAATATTTTTAGGATTGTCAAATACTTAACATTTTAATTAGATTTCCCTGGTCAAATGTGTGTTACTAGGCTATGTCAGCATAGTAGCAAGTCTTGTAAATATGTCAATTAACATGTCGATTCAGATCAGAAGCATAATCACTTTTCCATTTCATCTTCAACAAGGGTGAAATAATCTGGAGCTAATCTATAACAGGCAAATCCAATCACTGAAGCCATTGTCTGTTGTGATTTGAAGCTCTGCCAGACTTTGATCGCCATGGCAGTAAATTGATTAGCAGGGATCTACTGGTCGCTCCTAAATGCTGATCTTGGAAAATCGGTTCATGTCTTTGCCTTAAGCTGAGGTTGTGGTCGAGCTGCAAGCTACTCTCCTCTCCCTGCTGTCCTCTCTGTACGGCTCGGTAACAAGGCAACACAGAAGCTGGTCACTGTTTCTGCCTGCTGCCTTCATTAAGCTAAGCTCTGACTGTTCAGGCTCGCCGGCTGTCTTGTGCAGATTTACAGGAGCAGCCAGGATGGGGGTCGCTTGCAAATATGAATTTAATTAAAAGGGACTCGCAGAAGACAAAACCACTTGAGTTTGAAGGAGAAAAGGGTCAGGTGTGGATCTTAAACTTCGCCCCTCTGCCCTACCCTCTCCACTTGTACCCACTCACTACCACTGCCACACACAGTTCATGCATTTTTACACACGCGCACTCACAGTTTAGCACATTGGAAGAGAAAGGAAAGTGGGAGGCACCTGATCTCTTCAATCATCCTGGTTGCAGTTGTGATTAATGTAAAGTGGTTCTTATTTACAACACAAATTGCCAGGGTAGACAGGTAGGAAATAAAAAATGTCTGGGATGTGTCCGACAGCAAGGGCAAACACCAAAAGAGCTTCAATGTAAAGGGACTAATATGGAGTCAGAAACCATTATAAATGCATTGGCTGCCTCAGTTAGAGCACTTTTACTTCAAATCCTAATGCAGAGATTATTTAAAGTGACAGTTTATTTAATGACAAGAGAGTCTTTGTAATGCTTTCACTTTATTGTATGAAATTTAGAGGATTCTTAACCTTCAACAGTCCCCCGTCCTCTAATCCTCAAACCTTATCTCCACTCAGTATTTTGACTCTCTCAGTCTGTCGACTTCCACATAGCTGGGTGCTTTTTTTATCAGCAGGAGGCTAGGCTGAACAAGTGGTAACTGAACAATGAGAGAGCGACATGAGGGGGTTTTGTGTTTTCAAAGCCTATGACTCGTCTTTCAGGAAATTAGTCATTTTGAGTTAAAGTTCAGTGAAAATGTCTTCTTCTGCTGTCTTCTGTCTGCTTATCAGTCCTGTTTCAACTCTGCCTTTTGTTGGTGTGTGTGTTAAATAAATAAAAGATAGGAGGGTGAGAGAGAGAGAGAGAGGAGTGGTTTAAGTGTGATTTATCTGTGTATTTTTGCAAGCGTCAGTGCAGTTAAACCGTTATTAGGGCCTCCTTCGTTTTTCCTTTCATCTTTACTCCAAAACCTGCATTAGCCTGCGTACCGCTGATACCCTCTAATGTTCCTCTTTCTTTCATTGAATCACCTTTCCCCCTACTGCTGCCCTCATCCTTCCACCTTTCCTATGTTTCCTCACTTTCTTCGACCCCTTCTCTGTATCAGGGCCAAAGGTCACATCTTACAGTTCCTGTGAAATCAATCAAAGGTCAAACCTTTCAGTCTGCCTCAATGGCAGCTACTGAGTGAGGCTGTGTCTTTGTGTGGTAATAGATAGCGGACTGGTCACAGGCCAATGCATGCTGAGGACAAGCTTTCATTTCTTAATTTAGACAATGTATTCATTCATGCAGTCCATCATCAGTCTTGTCCTCATAGCTGTGCATGTATTCATCGCAGATACATGAAATCTACCAGGACTAATAAATGGTTTTATTCTGATGCTGCTCTCGCTGATGTTAGGGTTCACGAGGGAGAGTGACAGATTTAGACAGGTTGACAGGAAAATGATGCAGAACAGAGCAACTGAACAAGTTTGTTCCTAGAAATGTTCAGAGTTGTACAGTGCCTTGAAAAAATTGCCGCATCTTTTATTCATGTTCAGTTGTCGAGGTGTCAAGAGTTTTGTCAAGCCTCTCACTGTTCCGTTAACCTTGTCCCTGTGAAACGCTCTGTCTCTATCTCTTTGGTTAAACATTACTGCCAGGCCACAAGGGGAACGGAGAGAGGAAAGGATGGAGAGAAGGAGCGAAAGATAGAGAGGAAGTGGTTCTGCTGCTTCCCTTCATCATTAAACAAACATGGCCTCATACCAAAACGAGTGCAAGAAGAAAGCAGCGCCATCAGGACAAAAAAGGCACAGAGAGAGAGAGAGGAGGTGGAAGAGAAGAGACTGAGGATGAAAGTGATGAAGAAGAGAGATGGAAATGGAGGGGGGGGTGAAGACAGAGTACCTGTGTGCAGAGCAGAAAGGTGTGCAGTCCATCATCTTCAGACAGGCAGACAGGTCTGTCTGGGGAGTTTTATTTTTACCTCGATATAAGAGCAGTCTGGATCGGCTGCAGCGGTCTGGCAGCACCTTTCAGTGGTTCTAGGACAGCTGTTGTCCCGGTGTGACCATCTTTCACACCTGACAATTCACAATCATACATGTATGCACAAACACACACAGACTCACCAGGCTCCAGGTCAAAGCTTGTGCTGTGTCATGCATCATCTACTGTACACTGTTTGTCAATTAATAATTACTCATCCAAGTGTAAATGCCAAAAACAGCTTTTCAAAGGTTGGACTGTTGGTCTGACGAAACTAGCAATTTCGCTATGTCACCATTACAGTGTCAGCATTTTTCACAGTTTTTTGACATTTTGACAATGATAATTTGATTTACTGAGAAAATAACTGGGAGATTAATCAGCAATAAAAGTAATCATAAGTTGAAACCCTATGGCAACATTTTACCAATGATTTTTTAACTTAACTCAAGGACCCGTTTTGCCTCAGTACATCTACTTCTACCTTTCTGATATATACTACATCTCAGGAACACTTTTTGTTTATCGAGCACCTTCGAAACTCCACCAATCAGCCCCTAACCTGGTTAATACTGATTTTTAGGGAAATGTGAGGATCAAGCAGAAATGTACCTGCTCATTGCCCCCTTTGTTAAATTCATGGCAAACAGTGACTACATGTTGTTACACCAGGCACCTGTCCAAATCTACAGGGTGCAATGTGATCTACTATTGATCTCCTGTGGATCATTGTGTTCAATCTTATAGTATTTATAGACCCAGTAGATCATCACCCCCCCCCTTTCTCTAAGTTGCTGTTAGCACCAGCACAGACACACTGGGAGGAGAATTGATTAACAAATCAAGCCTGTAATTAATTCTTACTGTGATCAAAGACATGGGAGGAAGTCTGTGGAGAGCTTGAGGCACAGGGGTGAGGTGTTTTACAGTGCGGTCCCACCAACTCTTATTACCATGCTGTTTGTTCTTCAAACAGGTAGGTTTTAGATTTAGCATAACGTTGGGTGAATTTCAAATGTCTTAAAAGGTTGCCCTGCCTGTTTGGCATTCGGGAAATGATTAGTACTCCTAAGCTGGTGTGTGTCTTTCTGTTTCTCATGAGATTTGTAACGGACTGTGACGCCCTCACACATCATTGCACATTGCATCTCGGAGCTGCTTGGCAATTCGTATCCATGCGTAGGCTCCTTCATCTTTATTTTTAGGCAATCCTGGGAGAAACTCCTTCTTAAATATGGACTTATCTTAAATACGGAGTAGGAAGTATAATTGTCTTATGTCCCAAAGCAGTTGTTTTCTGGCCCCAAAGTTGGACACATTTGGTTGGGAAGCATTTACGAAAAAGACTCAAAAAAGCTCAAACTTAAGGTGAATCCTTGGGGAATTTCAGATGCATAGTTTTTGCTTGTACTCTCCTCTGCTTGAAAAACCAAGACCGTTTACATTTTTCTCACTCTTAACTGTCTTTTTCTTACTGTACATCTGTTTGCCTCCACTCTCTATAATGTCCCATTTTCTCATGGATGAAAAAAACTGACCCATTTCCACTGTGTTTGTGTTTTTTTGTGCAGGTTAGCTCTGTATGTGTACGAGTACCTGCTGCATGTAGGAGCACAGAAGTCAGCACAGACCTTTCTCTCAGAGGTAAGTCACAAAGACGCTTTATGTGTATGTGTGTGTGTGTGTGTGTGTCAGAGAGCACAGTCCATGTACTTTATGTGTCCATTCTGAAGGGTGGTCTGACCCTTATGCAATGTGCCCAGTAAGAGTAGCAGCTAATTGAATTAGCTGGGCCTTACAGTGCTGAGCCAACAGGTCGGTAGCCGCAGACAGGCTTTTTAACATTAGGGTTGTATTTAGTGGGACTGGAGCCGGAGCACAGGGAGAGTTACGACGCTCAGCCTGGAGCTGACGTCTTCGACTGACATCATTCTCTGATCCGCTCAGCAGCTGCGTCTCAGTCGATCTCTTTCAATCTCATTCTTGTCCTTTCAGTCCCCCACTTTCTCTTGTGATCTATCTCTCCGCCGCTCTCCCTGAGAAGCAAGCTTGTCCTCGCTTTATTTCCACCGAGGTAAAAAGGTGATGGGTGAAAATGAGGTCAGTTGATTCTGGTGCTTCGGCTGTAAATGACGGTAAATTACAATGTAGAAGACAGTGGCTGGAGGGTTGTTGTACATCAGCCAGAGGAAGAGGAGAACAAAGAGAGGGGGATGGAAAAGGTTACATCATCAGCTGGCACCAATTCTCATCACTCTGACTTAGTGTGTGTCCGTGCACATATGCATTCACACACACACACACACACACACACCTCTGTCTCTCTGACACCCTTTCCTCTCTGCCATATCGCTTGCTCTCTCTTCCGCAGATGTGGGAGATGAATAGTATAGGCGGTGTCGTATTCAAGTGTGGGAACGCATTAGCTAAGAGTGCAACAAGTATAAACACAGCCACTTGTATACAATACAAATGGGCGTGCATGCATGAACATGCACACACACACACACACACACACACACACACACACAGGGTAAACATACGCCATAATGTTGCTCTTGCTAGAGTAGTGGGGTGGAGTAAAACATGGCTTTAAAGGCCTGTTATCCACGTTTTATCATCCACATCTGTTTACAGTGTATCCTCAGGCTCAGGAAACAAGAGCCCAGAAAGACGAGTCACGAATCAGACCCAAATACCTAAACGTAAATATCAAATGAAAGACAGGCCGCTCAGAAGAACAGAAAACAAGAAACCATGCAAACCCTGTCCCACTAAATGAATGGCTCCAACAATAAAAATGAAAATACACTTAAACCCTAAAAGAATAGATGAGGAGAAAAAAACAGGAGAGCGAGAATAAAAAGTTTAAAATACAGTCAGTTTGAAGTTTATTCATATGGGTAGAAAGGAATCTCTAAAGGTGGAGCTTTTCTAAATCTCAGTCCTCAGTGTCCTCACAGCAGCCCCTGCAACACACAGCCTACATCTGCCAGTAATCACACTAGAAGGACCTCGCTGTAGCATGGTGAAGGTAAATGAATGAACCTCCCGGGAGTGCAGACCACAAGAAGACAGGATATGCGGGCACAGTCAATGCTATTTTCTTCTACGCTTTCCAGATGAAGGGGGAATAAAAGAGCATGCTAAAAAAGTGTCCTGACCTGAACTGTCTGCAGTCGTGTGTGGACTGAGCTACAGCCAATTAAATGTGAGAAATGAGGGATGTCATGCCCATTCTGCATCTTTTGTACCATTTGAGCAATTATGGGAGAATAAATCCTTCTTTGTCATGGTGTATATGGAAATTGCTGGTCTATAATGTTTCAAGTTAAGCAGTGTCTTTACTAGAACTGCTAACTTAGACTGAAAGCATGTGGGATAAACAAAGAGAGGCAGTTCCTGAACCCCCCCCAAAAAAAAAAGACTTCAAAGCAAGGCATTCCTTCTAAAAGTCAGTTTGTCTGATCTGCAGCTGAGGTCAGGACGCTCTGATTATTAAAAGTACAGTGAATCAGTTGTTCCTGTTATTTTAGCGCTTTTTCACTCTGCTAGTAGAGCAGGTGGCACAATAGTCTTTCTTTCTTTCACCCATATGAAACATTTCAGGGAAGGATATTAAAAAGATGATCATACTTGAAAAGTCGGAGAGAAAGAATGATGTAAGTCTGTTTATAGAGAGGAGAGGCAGACTAAACAATAGCGTCATAGTCTGATAGAAGAAGCCTGACTGCTGCCCACAGCTGCTGCTCAAACTGTTAGTTGCTTGTGTGTCTGTGTCTTTGTATGTATCTGCACAGCAGTCGACATTGTGCCAAACATAAATCGTCCCACTGTCAGCACTCATGTTAGACACTAACCTTGACAGAGGTGTTAAGGCGTCAAAATGCTTCAACTGAAGTGTTTGTCAGATGGTGTTGGAAATCTTCTTCCCCGACACCTATTGTGGAACTAGAAGACTGCGTTTGGGATGATGATCCTGTGGGACCCAGGGCAAATCTCGCGGGAGTGGGAGGTTTTGACTTTTGCTGCCTGTGGTCAAACAATACTTGAGGAGACAGGGCTCTAGTTGGAACTATCATTGGGATTGACTATTTACTAAGCCCTGACCCCCTTGGTTACTGTTGCTACATCTGTCAATCTTTCTGTGCCTGTGCAGCACATTATGCTGTTTTTGCTGCTGTTTTTGAAACAATGGGTCCTCGATTTCAGACAATTAGTGCTTTAATATGCACTTAAAGGTCCAGTGTGTAACATTTTGGAGGATCTATTGCCAGGAAGGGAATATAATATTCATAGGTATGTTTACATTTGTGTATAATCAACTGAATATAGAAAGTTTACAGTAACCCAGAATGGAAAAACCAGACACCGGCTGTAGATAGGGCCACTTGTATTTCACTGCCACCATGATTTCTCCTACACATTTCACAGCACGGTCTCATTCCCAGGTGGTCAAATACAGAAACAAAGGGTGTTCAGGTAGTCACAATCTGGAACTTCACTGCTAGATGCCACTAAATCCTACGCACTGGTCAGAGAGCGCATTAACATGCATTGTAGTAACCTGATTGTTGTAAATGCGCAATACATGCAGCAGGTCAGTAACCAGATTTCTCCCCTGACCTTATTTTGCAACCCTGGCTAACGCAGCCTATATAATGACAGAATGCACTTTTTGTTTGCTATGTGTCTGGTTAACAAAAATAGCTTCTCATTTCATTTGCTGGCTGAAATGATGGTTTTTATCAGGCATTACCTGGATCCCCTGTTCGCTGCTTAACTCTACGCGGTATAAACTTCCCTAAATCCAATATAGCAGGACAGAGCTGCTATTTTACCCTAAACCCTGAATGCATCCAGGACCAACTCGATACAACACAGTGGATTTGTTAGTTATAAACAGGGCTTTATTTTCTAACATGACCTGTAACCCCGCTAAATAATGTATGAATTGCTTGGCCTTAGAAGTAACACACGGTTGGGTACAGTATAACAGGCAGGAAAGAAGGCGGAACGTGAACTTCTCACCCAAGATCACCTTTGAGGGGAAGGTGGCAATGGAGCAAGCAAAAATACATAAAAGAAAGAAAGAAATCTTGTAAATATAATAGTAAAGACAGAAGGAATGCAGGATAGAAAGCAGCTGTAAGGAAGGCCAGAAAGAAGCAAAGAGTGAATGAAACACTGGAAGCAGAAGGACAGATAATGTGGGAGAGGAGCAAACTGAAGGGCGTGTGGGTTGTACAAAGGCTAGATTGGGATCCTCAGGCTGGTACATGTCTCTGACCTCAGACTCTGCACATCCCCTGACTCAGTAAACACACACACATTTGCACACGCACTCTTTCATGTACTTGTGAATAGACGGGCTTTCAGACACACATATACTCAATTATGCACTTATGAATCCATGGCACGAGAATCATAATATAATTACATAATAGCATGTGTTATAAGAATTCCCTTGCACCATCTCCAACCTTGTAAAGCGGGTAATTCAGATGTCAGGCATGTTTTTATGCTTAATATGTTTCTCTGTGTCTCTCGTACTCACTTTCTCTGTCCAGATCCGATGGGAGAAGAACATCACATTAGGAGAACCTCCGGGGTTCCTCCACTCATGGTGGTGGTGAGTGTTTTTGTGTCTAATGATTCAAGTTACATTCCTCTTCATGCTGTTTTTTCTTCATTCAATCGTTGACAGTATTAAATAAAGAGATCATTCTCTCTCCTTCTCTTTTTTTTTTTCTTTTCTCTTTTATCATAATACTTCTGTCTGTTTGCGTCTCTGTGTTGTAGTGTTTTCTGGGACCTGTATTGTGCGGCTCCAGAGAGAAGAGACACATGTGAACACTCCAGTGAGGCCAAGGCCTTCCATGACTATGTGAGTCTGCACTGATGTACCTTGCTCTTTCTGGCTTCATGGCACAGATTAGTGCAGGAATTTTGCTGGGACAGCCATATTGTAGGGAAAGAGAGTGTTAAATATCAAGTAAGTAAACAAGGCCTTATAAAATAATAATTTGCTATATAGATAATACAAAATATATAACCATGAAGTGAATAATCCTGATACATTTTTAAGTTTAGCTGTTGCTTTGGTCTGAATGTTTGTCTGGATTGACAGTCAAAGACTTTCCGATAATAAATAGCAGTATGAAACGTGACCTGGCCTTTTAGAAAAATTGCATTGTGAAAATAAAACAGACTTTATAAATTTACTTTCTGAAAGCTGCTGCTGAAATGAAATTAAAACTAGCTGTAGTAAACTGGAGTAGGATAAAATGATATGTCATATTCTTGAGTCTTGAACACATATGAGATAATTCCATGGATTGATAATTCCGTTGTTATATATTTTGTCTGTATAAATTCATACAAAAATGGATTTCATAATTAGGGATGCACCGGGAAATTATGGGTCGATACCAGTGTTTTTTCGGCTGATTTTGTTGTTAGATGCAAGACACAGAGGTGATTGTTTTTCCAATATCCCATTCAGAAATAACCAACACAGCATTTAACCAAATGATGAATAGTATACTTTTTAGCAGACAGGCCGATACCGATGTTCAGCCAATATATCGGTGCATCCCCATTCATAATGTCTTTTTTATTTATTTAATATTAACACGTTGGGATTCCATAGAATTAATATTGACGAGCTGTGTTCAAACTGGTGTTAAAATGCTATAAGTACAATCCAAAAGTGAATCATCAAAGCATGGCAGATAACAACTCACTCAATTTCCTGCTTCCTACCAGTTATGTTTTTTTTTTTTTTTTTTTTAAACACACTTTGAAATATTACAGGTTACTAGATCATGCAAAGAGCAATATGGTTGAAGGCAATCTACAAGTGACTTGCTGGGGCTGTTTTTTAATTACAATAATACAAGAAAACTGAGGATGAGGATTCAGAACTTATATCAGGTGCAACTTTTGGAGCACATTTAGGCCATAAAGTTGATTCACCAACCTTCATCAGTTTCATCTAATCCCAGAACTATATACTTAACACTGTTGAGTTCTCAAATGGCTGCAACTTGTCTTTACTGTCTTTTATGGTTTTATAAAATAGTTTTATCTCTTCGTGAATCTTTGATCTGGAGTGGTGTTTAATTGAATGCTTGTTGTGATGTTCAAAGTGTGCGATAAAGAAGTGTAGAGAACAGCTTAAGGTGTGTAGTAGTAGCAGCTGTTAAAATGCTGCACACACACATATTTGCCCAAAGTATTGTGAGCACATTATGCTGAGGTGCAGACTGTGCAGGCAGGCAGTGTAGCCCGTTTGGTGGAAACATTGTTTATTGCTGTGTTTTCTCAGTGTGGCTCCACTTCACTGCTGTAATTCCCGCACATCAAGGCATGGGTTGATTTAGTCATGCACCATCCAGTAACCGGAATACAGTGAGCAGTGCCAGAGCTCTTGAAGTTTTAGATTAGCTGGTGACTAAGAGAGAGGAAGTGCAGCTCTCCTCGCGGGAAGTTGCGATGTGGAGGAGGAGGGAGAGGGATGTGGAGGGGTCTTCTCTCTCCTGCTTTTTATGTTGTTGTTTTCCCACTGTAGCCTGAAGTCTGACTCATCAGATTTGTCTGTGCTGTGGTTTATTGAGATGTATTGTTGGAAGTGCACAGGTCAGGGGTTTCTGCCTACCCCAGCAGGATCGGCCCTCCTCTTCTCTGTGGTTCTCTCCCTCTTTCCCTTTTGGCTGCAGAGCTGGTGGGGGCTCTCTTCTCTTTTATCTTCTTGTAGTTAGGTGTATGTGCCTGTGTATGTGTCTGTGCACACGCAGGTGATGCTGCTGATGCTGCCGATGATGATCAGGGTGATGAATAGGCACTCCCAAGGACGAGGCAGCTATGTGATGATGTCATCCTGGCTCCGAGGATGGGAGCTGGAGGGCAGCACGACCTCAGCCCTGGGAGACAGACAGAAAGGAGAGGAGAGAGGTGGAGAAAAACAGGGAAACATGGATGGAAAGAGAGAATGAGTCACAAAGAGGGAAAAACAGTTAGAAAAAGACACCTTTTTTAAGGAGGAATTTATCACAATTATCAACACCAAAAAAAGCAAACACGTTTACCGTAATTAAATCTAATTGTGCTCGAGATGACAACAACAGTATCTTGTTGTTTCTTCTTATCTGATCAGAATCAATTCCATTCAGGATATATTTGGAATCTATCTTAACGTCATTAGCAGAGGCCACCAGCAACATCTTATTCTTACATTTCCTGCAGGGGTGTAATCAGAGAATTATAATTAGACCAATTGTAATTAGACCAAGGTCACTTTCAATCAACTGCGCCAATGCTGCGCTGCTTTTTCAGATCCAATCAGAGGTACTACCCACATGTCTGCCGCTCAATTAAAACAAAATGAGGGGACAACTGCGGTGGCCGTCGTTGTAAAAAGTAGCACAGCTTAATTTGATGCTGGTGTCTCTCTTTCAGTCTCCTGACTTTGAGACTGATGGAGATTTTAATCAGACATTTTGATGGTAATTATTTTCAGATAGCTAATTACTGAGTGAAGTCCTAATTAATGCTGGGGAGATGTAGGAGCTCATTCGCATCATCTTTGGGTCCCTTTCCTTTGATAATTGATGGGATTGTGACAAAGCTTTTGACTTGATTTGCACGATTATCCCAGTTTGAACCACCTACTGTAGATACAATTGGCTCTGAGTAAATGTGATTTAAAGAAACACCGTCTTAACAATGTCTGTTTACATGGGCATGATGTTTTGCACGTGGTTGTGTACTGTAAATGTCGATCATATCACCAGACCAGTGTGCGAGGATGGTCTTCTAGGACATTAATCCAGTAATCTAATGTTAAAAGGGAAAGAAAGAAATGACTGATGAACAAAGTGAATAGAGATGCAATGTTATTGATTTCCATCCTCAGACGAGGCTTTTCAGGCATCAGAAAGGCCGTTTACAGTTCTGTTAAGTGCTTTGTAAATTGTGTTCTTGATACTAAATGAGCGGTTTCCATTTGCAAGGGGCCATGAAGTCATAAAAACAAGTTATTTTTAAATTCTTACGCCTGGCCCGGAAATGGTCTTATTGGAAAGAAAATCAGCTGCTCAGTTGCTTTTCTGTCTTTGAAGAAGAGGGCATCAATCCAAGCAGGTCATTTCAGGCTTTTCCTAATACTAGCTCGTCTTAGCACAGCATATACATTAACATGGAGGCATTTATAATGCAGCTACATTGCAGTGTCTCATGATGATAAATAAAGGGAGAGAAATATGATAGTAATCTCCTTTTGAACTGATAGTTGGTACAAATGTTAGAGAAACCACTTTAATTTCTGTGATCTTTAACAAAATATGGACAAATTAAAGCAGAACGAGAAAGAATCGAGCCCGCAGGAAATTGCTTGTAAGAACTGTAGAAATAATACTGAGCATATTAGCGGCATTTCTTCTACTACATTATGACATTTAGACCCTTTAAAATGTTTGCTGTACTGAAAAATTGTTCATTTAATTGAAATACAAACGTCTCCATATGAAGTGTGTTGGAACACGATTGTGTATTTGTGTGTGGCATTTTGAGTTTGGGGAATAATTGTACACGTACATGCTGCATGTTCACATTGCCCTCAGTGGATTATTCATGCAAGCTCTGGAAGAGACAGTCTAGAGGTTAGAGGAGCAGACTTGTGGTAGACGGGCTGATGAGTTAGAAGAATTTAGGAGAAGTGATGAAAAAAACTCCACTGAGAAAGATACCTCACTCCTGATTTCAGGAGATTATCAGTGTCTGACAGTTGTACTGGCTGTACTGTGCAGTCTCCAGATAAGAAAGTGCTTATTAACTGAAGTCGTTAGTCCTCTTGGATGAATCGTGGTTTTTGTATAAAAAATGATAATTGACAATGAGAATAGGCTGTGAACGGAAATTTGGAGGTGGCTATGAAAGTTTTTTGTAATGGCCTAAATATGTTCGATTACCATTATCACAGTTTGTGCTTTTAGCTTTACATATTTATCTCATTAATGTGTGAATGTGTGACAGATTGTCACAGAGGAAAGCCCCCCCAAAAAAACAGTTTAGATGCTCTCCAGTCAACCAGAAGAAGAAAAAGTAGACAAACATCAGGGAAGCAGGCCACACATGCAGAATCAGCCGGGCATGCAACCTCACAGGGTGACAGGCGAAGATGGGCATTAAAATTGAAAAACTGAAATGCAGAGACTCAGACAGACTAGCTGGCGAATATAACCCATAAACATCCCACAAAATTCTGAGAAATGTGCTGACACAATGCAATGCATGTCTTTAAATTATTTATATAATTTTCCTAACAGTATTTTTCCGAACAAATGAAAATATGGCCAGTGGGATCAGGCAATTTAATTTAATTTAATTTAAACAAGTTTGAATGTTTTTTAAGTACTTTTTAGAGCCAAGAGAGGTCCTGATACTAGTATTCAGTTTCCTTTTTAGCATTATTTTAAGATCATGGTTCCCAACCTTTTTGGCTGGTGACCCCTTAAAAGGAAATAATGTATGTTTGCAGGTACAACTGCAACCAACAATAATCTGCCAATTAATCATCTAATTAATCATTTGGTTCATAAAATGTGATAAAAAGCAAGAGACATGTATGTGTTTTGTTAATTTGCAGTTAGGGCACATGTTGGTTTACCTGTCTAGTGTATAAAAAAAATCTCTTCCTCAAATATTGAATCTTGTTTTGTCTGACTAACAGTCAAACCCCCACAATATTCCATTTACTATGACATACAACAAAGAACAGTAGCAAATAAGCTGAAACTTATGAATGTTGCATTTCTGCTGCATTTTTTGCTGGTTAAATGACTGAAGCGAAGAAACAATTGGTCAGCAGATTGTTTCAGTTTTACT